TTTTTTTTTAATTTTGCATCTGCATTTTTGCAAAACACCTCATACTTCTGCAAAAAACATAAATTCATTTCTAAAAAAAATACAGGTAAACTCACGGACCATATATCTCATGATAAAAAATGACCAAAAAAAATTCCTGCTTTTCTTTATATATATATATATATATATATTTTAAATCCTATCTCGTTTTTTATTTTTTTAAAATCCTAAACAAAGTTGCATTCAAAAAAAAAATATATATGGGGTTGTAGGGCTTAAAATTCCCTACAACCCCTTTTTTTTTTTTTTTTTTTTACCTATTGTTTAATTCAGGAAAATTCTGGTAAAATCGGGTTCGCGGCGCGGACTAGGTCGACCGCGGACGCGGACGCGTCTACGTCCGCCATCCGAGATTGGACCCGCGGACGCGTCCGCGGGTGTTACATAGGTACTAATACCCCTCGACAGAAGAAGTCGAAGGGTCAGTTGGGGTAATGTTGTGTCAGGTAAATCTGCGACACACACTGAGACTTGGCCTGGTACCTGTCAGTCTACCGGTACCAGATGTTTAAAATTTTCAACTTTCATCTTTCCCTACTCGGTCTCCAAGTCAGGTACTCGGCGCATCTACCTCTACTTGGTGTGGTACCGACTTACCTACCACTTGAGTGTTTCCCGCCGCGACCCTCAAATGTCGCGGCCATGGGTAAGTACCGGCCCTTCCGGCCGTTCGGTTAACCAAGTACCCCTGCGGGTCGTACACACACTCAAGCCGGCGAACGCACAAGCAGACATGCAGGCCAGCAAGCGTGCACACGCGCACAGGCTAGAACGGGCTCAGGCGGCTGGTTGAACTAAGCCCCGCTACTATATACATAGTAGAGTTGTTCCTCTTCTACATGTAGTAAGAGCTAGCTCAGTAGGTTCAGGCACATGGATGTTAAGCAATGGATGCAAAGATCGAATCCAGTCCACTGCTGAGCTAGCTCCTTTTGCAAGGAGCTCAACTTTAGCCCCGCGTTCGGCCGACCGGGGCTCGATCCCGTGACCTGGAAATCAGGGTTAGCCACGGTTAGACCCGTTGTGACAGTTG